CCCCCCCCACCTCTCCTCCCTGCTTCCCTCCTTTCCTTCCCTGCCACCTGGCCCCGACAACAGCTGCCACTGTGACACCCCACCTTTGCCTCCCCACACCCCGTGCCCGGCTGGGCCTGCGCAACCTCCCTCCCTCCCCGCCGCCTCCCCCTTCCTGCCAGCTGTTATTGGGTTCCCCTTCCCGCTCCCTTCCTTCCCTGCCATCTGGCCCCGACAGCAGCCACCACCGCCACGCTCCCCTTCCTCCTTGCCCACTGCCTCCCCCTCCCTGCCAGCTATTCTGGGGTGTGGCGGAGGTGCACTGCGAACATGACCTTCCTCTTTGCCCTCAGGCAGGGAGGCATGGGAAAGCGTCACTGCTCGGGTGGCTGGGGCATGTTCACCGCCACCACCACAAACTTTCCCAGCAGTGGCTCAAACGGGCCTGCGCAGCCAATCGCCACGTGCCCTCTCAGCAGTGCATGTATAGCTGGCCAAAAGTATTATGGACAGACAGACACACAATCAGACAGACTAAGCCCTTTATTATATTAGAATGATTGTGGGAGGAAGTTTACTGAGATTTGCTTAAATCATAGCCATTGAAAACTAACATATTGTAATGTTCCAGATGAAAATGAAGATTTGCGTAAGCTTGCTGCAAAGGAAATCATTTCTTGCCAGGAGGAGGTAGCTGAACTGAAACGCCAGGTATATTTCTTTTAAAAGTAATATTGCCTACTGATTTAGCACTGTTAAATTGCCAAGAGTCAGACTGAATCCCCATTTATAAACACAGGAACTTATTCAGATAGTTTTGTTTGTTTCTTTGTTTTTCCCATTTGTGTTATGCACATCTATAAAGCTTGATATGTGGACCTTCTAGGATTCACAAACTATAAATACCAGTAAGACTTCCTCCTTTCTTAGGCTGCAAAATAAATCCTTTGATTAGTTTACTACGTATCTGTATGCTTCAGGTGCCTTGGGCCTTTATCTACTGAGAGCAATACATAGAATCATTGCAAGAATAGGTTTTTTTAAAGACATTTTAAAATGTTGTAGCTATTACTCAACTGTTAGTTTGTATAGATATTGTTATAGTAGAATCTTTACTGAAATATATTCCCTCTAGAATGAAGGTTATTGCTCAAATCTGATCTGTTGAGACAAAATTAGTTTTGCCCCAAGTTCTGCTCTTCAATCAAATACTTGCTTTTTATGTTGTTCACAAAGAATGTGCAAAAAGATTTACAGGAAGAGTATATTAGATACAAAGAAAATTCATTTAATAGGGCAACCAGTAATAGGTTGAAGACATTACAAAAAAGTTCAAAATTTGAGGTTAGCCCATCATGCAAGTCTTAAAGTATATTAATTAGGAAACTTCTGGTTTTGATATCAGTGCATCTTTCATTTCAGGTCTTCCCAGTTTAAAAATGACAAAATGCAACAGTGTAACTCTGGATATAGACAAACATAATGTATACTCACTTTAAAACATACTGGTATAAGAGGCTCTGACATAAATGTTAGGTCTGTTTAGTCCTACCTACAACAATACAGGTGAAGCAAAACTGTTGTAATTAACTTTGTTTCATTCAGGGTTAAAGTTAAAGCAATTTAGCTTGCTTATCACTGTTGAAACAGACATAACAGTTAAATTGGAATAACTCCTTTGCACACCTCAAGCACAAGTTCCCCACCTCTTCTAAAATGGTTTAAGGTTACATCTAATCGTAGCTTTTGATGCACTTTTGCACTTTTTCAGTCAGAATTATTCAGCTAATAAGTTAGTATTGCGTTTAAATGAGCACAGTTCAAAAGAGACTTTTAGTTATCAGGAACTCATCAGCATTTTCCAGAAGAATTCACCAACTCTGAATCCTGAAAAACTTTACAAGGTCAAAAATAGTTTTCTTTTAGCACATACATATGGGACTCGAGGAAGTCTTAATGCTCATTTATTAGTGGAAAAGTCACTGGAGTAATATATACTTTGTGTCTTGGTTATGTCACTTCCCCTCATCATCCTTCAGTTTCCCATCTGTTAAATGAGGATGGTAATAACTTATTTCCTTTATAAAAATTCCTTGAAACCTGTAAGTGAAAAGTGCTATATATTAAGGGGAAAAATATGTATAGAATGCCTACAGGTTGTGTTGAAGCTCTGAATAGAGGAGTAAAGCACTAAGAAATCTACCTTGCTGGAGACTGTCAATAAGCTACCGTAATGGAGTACAACACAGAATGATAGCATAAATGTATGGCATTCTCGTCATGAACTGAGGTGTCATAGGACGATCTTAGACGGGTAAAAGGGAGTGTCATTTTTGTATTTACAGATAGTATTGCTTTTGATTCCTTCAGAAGAAATGGACAACAATGACCTTGTCATGGAATTAGCTGCTGGAGTTGGAGGACAAGAAGCCATGCTATTCACTGCAGATATATTTGATATGTATCAACAGTATGCTGCTTATAAAAGGTGGAGATTTGAAATACTGGAATACTCTCCCAGTGAAATAGGTTAGTAGTCATTCGTTGAACTTAAGTAAGAAATGTATAAATAGAAACATTTTACTTCAAATGAAGTGTTAGTTGTCTTGTCCACAAGTACTTAAAAATTAGGTGGAAGCAGCAAATCTTACTGAAGCAATTTTTATAAGCAAGGATTTGCTCTATTCTTCTGTGTACGAATAAGGTGTGATTTGAAATGTATCGTAAAGTAACAAAATTGTTTTCCACAGTGCAAATGGTATCCCTTCAGAAAAATCAGTGAGAGTTGAGACAAAATGTTTGCAGTGAAGATGTCCGCTGACAGAGTCATTTTTCATATATTTGGACATAGTTGTTCTTTAGCTATTTAATATTCTTGCTTTTATAATACCTTCATTTTGTGTAGGTTGGTCTAAGGATGTAGGCAGACAAGGTTCTAATAAAAGAGATCAGATTCACCCAAAGAACCTTGTCTGCCTTTATTCTGTGTGTTATGCTAAATATCTAGTCTTTGCTTTGGATTTCTTGGCACAGAAAGGGGTACTATATAACTAAAATATTGTCAGTGATTAGGCAGAAATACATAGGATTTATCTGAAATGTCTCCCATTATATTTTCTTATCTGATTTGCATGTTTTATTTCAGTAAGAAAAAGGTAAAATAAAATTGGGGTGACAATGCACAAAAATGACAGTCTTGCTGTTCTTTCCAGAGATCGACTATCACATTCCTGTAGGAATATCTTTTAATAAGGCTTAAGTTCTTTCTGTAATGCACTATCAATTCCTTTGTTCAGAAGGTAACTTGAAAGATTTTGTGATTTGCAATTATTACTTCCAATATTCAGACAGGTCAAGAAAATCCTTCTTCATTTGCCCATGAACAGGAAAATTCTAAGTAACATGCACATTATTTTCTTTATTGACCTCCCTACTGTTCACTGTCTATACACTTTCTAAATGTCAGGAGACTTCAGGGTCTCTATATTAAATAGCAGAAACAATAACTTACCTGTTTACTCAGTTTCTTGGGCAGGTTTTCTTGCAACTTACACTGAGGTCAGTGCTATAATGACTGCATTGTCATTGATATCCATGCAAGCTAGTTTAATTTTAAGTTAAATTGGGTGTGTCTACATAAGTTTCAGTTTCATTTTGACTGCACTATAGACTTACCCAGGGACAATAAAGGAAAGAAAAGATTAATTACTACAAGCTGCTAGAAACTGTCATGTTAGATCATAAAGACTCATCACTAGTGCTATTCATAATATTTTAATAATGATATCAATCTGTTGCTTCTGTATGCATCTGTGTAGGGTATACTTAGCTTTTTTAATATTCATTTTAACAATAAAAGTAACAAATTCTCTAACGGTGTTTTACTTACATAAGGATACTTCGATTAAAAAAACCCACAAAAAACAAGAGGCCCTTTCCTCCATCTGGTGGTGGTCGTGTAATACAATTTAAAGACTGGAATAATTGTTACCATTAATTTAAATGCCACTTTTCTTTAGCAGACCTCATTTAACATCAAAACCATATATTGGATAACTGCTATATTAGTATTTTGTGGTGATTGCAATGTTCAGTGTGAACATAATCAGTTCATACAGCCTGGCAAGTCTCTGAAGCAGTAAGCTCTATTTAATTATACATTCTGTAAATGTATCTGTCTGTTTAACTCCTGTTGTCTTGGGAAGCAGGGATAAAACTTTTAAAAAATCACCAAGATAGGTTAGATGGTGTTGTAAGGGAGAAGGTAATAAAAATATAAGGGTGAGAGATTTTTGTTTTGTTTTTATAAAACTGAAAAAAGTGTTGAATATATTACAAGATAAAATTAAGTCTATAGAGAACAGTAACATTTGCAAAATCCTATATTAGGGATGTTAAACACCTGGCCTTCAATCTGGATCTGGTAATTTATGTATTTTTG